AAAAAGATGAATGTTAACCAGTACTACCTAATAACAAAATTGGTTTCCTAGTTTCTTCAGTGTTTCAAATTTTTGAATTTTTTTTTTCTCTTTCAAGAGGAATCTGAAATTTTCATTCATTATCACTTTTCTGTTTAAAATAAGCAGTATCAGTATTTTATCCTTGGAAGCTTGAGGGTAACTTGGCTCAGAATCAACATTTACTGTCGTATATAATAAACATAGCTGATTCAACTAGTATCTCACTTCTTTGTACAGAACAAACTTAAAAGCTTCCTTAATTGTACTTATTTGAACATCTGATTTTTTTTATCTTTAAAAATACTTGTGTTTTATCCAGATTTCTCTGTCTTTCATTATCTGTCCATTTTATTTTTACCCAGTTACATCCTATAGCAATTATGTATACAAAAGCAATTTCTATAAAGAAAAAAAAAAACTCAACTTTGAAGGAAAGATTGTCAGAATAATAGCCAAGTACCCACCATGAAACAATTTGTTTTTTGTTTGTTCATTTAAAGTGCATTTTCACACCACTTACGCCTTTTTGGTACCTCCTTCTGTGACACGTGTGACTAGTTTGTTAATAGCTCTAAGGCAAGCATAACTGCCCAGTAACATAAATAATGCTCAGCCGTGCCTACACCTGCTCACAGGCTGTTAGGTCACGACACACGAGCAGCTCATAGTTGCTGAGGGGAAGAAAAAAGGCACTGCTTTCGTGTTCTGGCTGTTGATACAGCATGCACAGATGTTTAATAACAGCACTGAGTTGCAGGCATAGAATTACAAATGAGCATTCTTTGCAATTTGAAATCAGGTTTTTAGAAGTTTCACTTGTTAACTTCAAAATTTGAATTTTATTTTTCTATAGTAGTATTGAGGTTTTTGGTTTGGTGCATCACGTTGCTTTGCTTTAACATGTGTTTTTCAGTTGGATCTCCCAGTGTGTACACCTATGTAAATGCACATATTTTATTCCTGTATTTATGATATCTGTATATTGTGCATTAGATTTATGTATAATTCTGTCAAGACTTGAAAGTTAACAGTTTAATGCAGTGTTGATATGCTTATGAAAGTGGCCACCCCCTTTGCCCCATCTATAGAAAAATAAAAAAGTAGTAAAATGGACTACATGTAAGTAGTTTTCCTGCTTTGACTTCATGCACATGTGCAGGTGCAGTATGTCTCCATTTCACTGGGTACAGCTTTTTATAGGAGCACATTCCCCTCATCAGTCTCCCATCAGTGCCTTTTCTTTCTGTGGCTTTAGTTACGCATAATCAACTATAATCTAAAAACGTTAAATGGGAAATTCTAGAAATAAACATTTTGTGAGTTTTTAAATTGCATTGTCATTTTAAATGGTGTGTTGAAATCTCATATGAGACACAGCTACCCTGTACACCCATTGTATTCATTCACTCGGTAGTGTTTATAATAGCAAAATGCTTTATAAAATTTACTTTGAAACATGTTTATGTGAAAGTCTTATTAAAATATAGTAGAAGTAAAATTTAATTGGGTAATTTTACTTCCTTTATACATTCTCTGTGCTTTATTAAATGATGTAATTTATATTTGTTTTCACTTTTCTCAAATGTTCACTTTTTTTTTTTTTTGGCCTAGGAAGATGAAAATGTGTCCACTGCTCCCAATCCACCAACTCAGCATTTACATGGGCATGGCTTTTGCTTTGACTCCAGGTAAAATTTGTCTTTTCCTTTGTAGAACTGCATAGTTTTTGTAATTTTTCTCAAAATGTGGTTCCTGGGAACTTGTTAGAGATCTTGAGCGCTTAGGGTCTGAACTACTGACCCAGAAACTCTAGGTATAGGACCTAGTAATTTGAGTTGTAACTTGTTGTCTGTGTGACTGATTTTCAGAAACTGTGCCATAAAATTTCCTAGATACTAAATTGAATAAACTGTTAGGAAGTTATGAGTTGTATTCATCTTTGCAGTTGTTTTTTTTTTTTTTTTAAAGAAAGCATTTTCTTCTGGACACCTTGTAACTTGTAATCATAGCTACTCGTGGGTTTGAAGCCAGCCTAAGCAGAAAAGCCCATGAGACTCTTACCTCCAATTACCAGAACGGAAGTAGAGCTGTGGCTCAAGTGGTAGAGTGCTAGCTTTGAGCAAAAAACCCCAGAGACAGTGCTCAGGCCCTGAGTTTGAGTCCCAGGACTAGCTTCCCAAAAAAAGAAAGGGATTTCCCATTAGTTAAAAATGGAAGAACCGGTCATATGCTGGTGGCTTACAACTATAATCCTAGCTTCTCAGAAGGCTGAGATCCGAGAGTCATACATGGTTCAAAGTCAGCCTAGGCAAGAAAGTCCATGAGACTCTTTTTTTTTTTTTTTTGCCAGTCATAGTGCCTGAACTCTGGGCCTGGGCACTGTCCCTCAGCTCTTCAGCTCAAGGCTAGTGCTCTACCACTTGAGCCACAGCACCACTTCCAGCTTTTTCTGCTTATGTGGTGCTAAGGAATTGAACCCAGGGCCTCATGCATGCAAGGCAAGCACTCTACCACTGAGCCACCTACCCAGCCCTGTCCATGAGACTCTTAACTCTAATTAACCACTGCAGGTGAAACTGTGGCTCAAGTGGTAGAATGCTAGCCTTGAGCTTGTAAAGGCTCAGAGACAGAATCTAGGCCTTGAGTTCAAGTCTCAGGACCAGCATACAAAAGGAAAAACTTTTTAGTAATAAGCCTCATTTTTTTTGGGGGTCCGGTAGTGGGGCCTGAACTCTGGGCTTGGGTGCTGTCCCTCAGCTCTTCAGCTCAAGGCTAGCACTCTACCACTTGAGCCACAACGCCACTTCCGGCTTTTTTCTTTTTGCTTATGTGGTGCTGAGGAACCGAACCCAGGGCCTCAGGCATGCAAGGCAAGCGCTCAACCACTGAGCCATCTTCCCAGCCCTAGCCTCATTTTATTTAATACTAGATTTTGTGATTTTTATTAAGGAGAATTTCTTTATAAATCTAATGATAGAACTAAAATGCTATATGAAAAGGCAGTCATACCCAACTGTACCAACCATTTAGAAACAGAAAAAGAATTTTCTGAAGTAACTTAAGACTTTCAGGATAGTTTGGTATGAATATCAGCTAATTAGATTTAAATGTAACATTATGGTATATTGACAATTATTGTTACAAATTTATTAGAAATATGTAATTGTTTCATTTTCCTCTTTGTTTAAGCTTTGATGTTCACAAGAAGTGTCCCCTCTGTGAATTAATGTTCCCGCCCAACTACGATCAGGGCAAATTTGAAGAGCATGTTGAAAGTCACTGGAAGGTGTGCCCAATGTGCAGTGAGCAGTTCCCTCCTGACTACGACCAGCAGGGGTTTGAAAGGCATGTTCAGACCCATTTTGATCAAAATGTTCTAAACTTTGATTAGTTACTTTTTATTATGAGTTAATACAGTTTAAAAAAAATCATCTTAAGTAGACCACTAAGGAGACCACAGGTTTTTCCTGCACACTCTTTTGCACATTCTTCTGTCCACAAACTACTTTTAGTTTGGTGTTAATTAAGGTTAGGGTCAGCCTATAACTTCTCAATAAATACAATTTTAACCTCTTAATCTTAACCTGCTGTAAGAAAAGAAGTTCTTGTGTGTTTATATCTTTATTTATTTCCTAATTTGCAAAATTGTATGGAAAAAAGGATACAGGAATTATTTTAACGTTACTGCACTAAAAAATATATCCATAATAGTGTACTACATTACTTAGCAGAATATTTACTGTTGACCTTGTTGATTTAGCATGACTACTGAATATTATGTAATAAAAAGCATTGATCATAACAGTTCTGCGAATTCTTTAAATAAAGGTCTGTAATTTTGCCCATGAAATGTTGGGGCTTTAGTCTTATTTAGAAGTGAGTTACATATAGAATGAGATCACATGCTTGCAAATATTCTTTTTGTATATGAAACACTGGCATTAGGAAATACTAGAATGCCTATTTTGCTAATTTTATGATAAAAATTTTAGGATGGATTATTTTTAAACTATATTGAATTTGTATTTACAATGAGAATTGGAACAAGATAGGTCAGTACAGTTTGTTTCCTATTAAATGAACTCGTAACTTGTGTTTGTGGTATAAAAATCACAGAATATCATTTTCATGGGAGAATATAAATTTGAAATAACATTCTTGGTAATTAAAAATGTAATGCATAAACCCAAATCACATAATGTATTTCTTGAGTTATGTCTGTGCCATGTAGAATTAACATTAAAGAGGATGCATACTTCGAGGTGTGTAATTTCATTGTTGTCGCATTTATTTTCAGTAGATTTTCTGTTAGCATGCTGGGGATCTTTTGGTTTAGACCTTAAATTCTTATAATATGAACTAAAAATTTAAAGTACTTTTGATTTGCTTCTGTGGTAGTTACCAAAAAGTTAAGACTTATTCTGAGCAAACCAACTTTTTAAGATGTTAACCTGATATTTAGACGCGATAGCATTCTCAGTGTAACAGTGTGAATTGTGAGCATATCCTGTCACTTGGATTTTTCTGTTACTGAAATCCTTTGAAGAGGTTTTTGGGCTTAGGGCATACCAGTGTTAGGCATTCAGGTGCCAGCTCTTGGTTAGCTTGTGGCAGTACTGGAAGGCAGCAGAGTTGACTTCCTGTTTTGACTTTTGGGTAAGTTTATATAACAAATAGGATATACTCAGGAAAAATTGTTCAGCCCTCCCTGTGAACATTTTTTTGATGCAGTTAATTATAGATTACCCTCACTAAAAGTACTCTCTAAATTATTTTAAAACAGTGTTTGATGGGGCTGGGAAGGTGGCTCAGTGGTAGAGAGCTTGCCTCGCAAACATGAGGCCCTGGGTTCAATTCCTCAGCACCACATAAAGCAGAAAAAAGCCAGAAGTGGTTCTGTGGCTCAAGTGGTAGAGCTGAAGAGCCCGAGGAACAGTGTCCAGGACCAGAGTTCAGCCCCCACAACCAACAAAATAAATAATAATGTTTGGGTCTAAGCTTGTGATAGGTAATTTATTAGTGGTAGAAAAATTATATGTTCTAATCTAAGCAAAACATTAAGGGGAAAAAAATCTGTATGCATCATCTGAATTCTGCAAAGTAACATGGAGCCCAAGGTAGAACCAGATGCTGAATGGATATATTAGTTTCCATGGTAAACTTGATGCTGGTTTTTGAGTTGTTTTTTTTTTTTTTTAATGAGCATTAATGAAAATAGTCACGTTTATTTTGGGCCAGAGGCAGTTTATTTTAAATGTGATTTCATTTACATTTATTTAAGCAGCTTTTCTTGACAGGAATTTTGATTAAGTTGCCTTCATTTCTAAAACCTCTGTTGCTTTCAAACTTAATGTGCTCTGTTCCCAACAAAACATATGAAAATATAATTTAAAGCACAGTTTTCACAGACACAGTACAATACATTCACTATACACGGTATAACAAAATATTCCCATCCATACCTGTTTAGTAATACTGTCACAATGAATAAGCAAATAGAAATTGGAATTTGTTTTATCATTGAAAGAAATTTAACATGCACAATGACTATTTTATGACTGTCTAGCTGTTGAACTACTGATCCAGCCTGCACTTTCTTGCACTAGAAGGAGCAAAGCTAAATAATAATTGCTGGCTTAAAACCTATTTTTTTTATTTTTTTGGTCAGTTGTAGGTAGATAGGAAATAGCCAAGTAGGGCGTTCTTATGCACCAACTAGTTGATTCTCATGTATGGATCACCTTTTTAAACATAGAACACTGTATATTCAGGACCAAGACTACTCTTCAGAGATCTGAGGAAAGCTTCAATGGGCCGTATCTTTATACATACTTTTAAATCTCTTTATTTATGAGGGATTTACAACTCACCCATCTAACAGAATTGTCATTTTTTCAAAATGTCTGAAAAATTGAGGCTTCTTAGCCATGTGTAAGACTTTTTATCAAATGGGAACGTAGGAAGAAAGTTACTTTATAGGGAATTCCAGTTGACTTTTCACCATTTTGTACTGTGGGCAGTTAGCTGTCTCAAAGGGATTTTTATTGCATAATTAGGCAACTGGTAAACTCGTGTTTAAGGAATAGCACTTGGGAGAAACGAACACTCAAGGCATGATGGTACTGTTGGAGATGGTACTTAGGAATGGTCCAGATGTAGGTCACACGTAATGGTCTAGTCTCTTTTCTTTGACCACCTGCTTCAAGAAGCACTTGTCAGTAAGGCTCATTTTCTTATTTTCGGCAAAATGTTTTATAAAGCTAAACAAACATTTCCAGTGATAGTGCAGACATCTACACTGTGATGGGAAAAGTGCCTTTAAAGGAAGTCTCAAAACACTATTGAGTGTGAAGAGGCAATATGAGTCTTCACAAAAATGTTCCTCTTTGAAACATGCTTAGAATTTTAATTTGGATTTGCAACCCACAGGTATGTTAGGGCAGTGTGGTTGCAGGAATTGGCAACACAAATGTCGTTGGCAATAGAGAACTACAAAGTGCTTGAAAACCTCATCTGAGGATGAAGCTATAACTAAATTTCACACACACAGAATTTGCACTTAAGTATTTCAAAACTTTTTTTGACAGATTCCAAGGATGTATTTCACTAAACTGTATCTTGGTCCACAAATAATAGTTACAAAGTGAATCCCTTGCACCCAGCAGGCACTGAATAAATTGTTTAAATGAATGAATGAATAGAATTTTTTTTAAAAAAATGTCATTTATAACACTGAAATGATTGGTGAGTTAGATGGCAAGATTTTCAGCTTTTTAGAGGGCAAAAGGATTTGCAAGATAATAAAACACAAAGAGCACACCTTCAACATGTTATTTAAATATGAAAATATTTTTAGCATATTATGTTAAACATTCTTATTTATATTTCCATTACCTAAAGTCTTTCTACTCACAAATACTAACTCCATTATGTAAGGCATGATAACCAGTTTGATAATGAAGGTATTCTTTTGGTTTTGAACATAAGTGAGTTGATGTGTTGAAAAAACTTCAATCACATTACAATCTTGAAAACATCTCAGTGCCACCCCCCACCCCCATTGATATCACTGCAATACAACTAAACAAAATGCAACATGCCCTCAGTTTTATTTTGTTTTGGGGGAAATGTGCTGAAGAACCTAGAGCTTTTTTGTTTGTTTAGCACCTTATATCAACGTAATGAAAATGGGTATGATGATTACATGTGCAAATGTACAAAATCATTAACCTCTACAAAGTTACGTCATTCCAAAATTACAGAAAAATTTAAAGCATGCATTTAATTCTTTAAAGGGTTGCTGAATGCTTCCCCTGAAAAAAGGTGGCTGTTTTCAAAATCAGCAACTGCTGGTGAGGGTTTCTTGGCACAGTTATGACCAGCATGTTATTGCTGCATCTTCCTGATAATCTCGGCCGACACCGGGGGGTGAAAGTTGATTGTGTGGTGCCGCAGGCCCTGAGCTGTCTTATAACTCTTCCCACACCGACACTTGAATGGTTTGCGGACTCGAATCTGTGTTCGATGACCATTCTTGGCATGGTACTTTATGCCATTCACATTCTGTGGAGAAGACAAGGTAAACCTATTAGATGGAGTCATAAATATTAGCTTGAGCAAAGGCCATCAGAATTCAGACTGCAGTTAGACATCTAGATGGCATCAATTATAGAGAAAGGCTTTGCATTGGATTCCAGTCAGTGACACCTCTCACAGACAGTCTAGTGTGTCAATTGTGGACTGTATACACTGGGTTGTAAACTAGCAGCACAAGGAAATTTCCAGTATGTCTTTGCATAACATTTTTCAGGTTCAGACTGTCAATAAGAAAAGTTAAAAGTTCTAGCCTGGCACTTGGCTTTACCATGAATCTATAAAACATTCAGGATGACCAGCAATATACCTTTCAAAAGGATAAAGAGACATCTTAATTGAAGACTTCTAAGTCTAGGACCTGGAAATAGCCAACAGTCAGTTTGCAAACAGTCCTAGTTCCCTCCACATTTTACACTGAATTTCTGTCATTTTTTTTGCTCTATCAGTCTCTGATGCCAGTGTAGGAGCTGCTTACTGACCAATCCTGCCTGTCCTGTCTTGTTCCTGTTAAAATAAGAACCTATGGACAAATCAGTCCTTACCTTTACTTAAGGTACGACATTCCAAACATAGAGTATACTTATTTTAAGTTATTTATAAAACAGTTTGAGTAACAAAATACTGACTATATCTTAGCATCTTGATGCTAAAAACCCAGAAATTACATATTTTCTGGTTTTGGATTTTCTGTGGATTTTCTGTTTTGAGGCAGGGTCTTGCCTGCCAGACGAGGCTTGAACTCACAGCCTCCTACCTGATTCTGAGTACTGGAACTATAGGCATGTGCCATCATACCCAGTCTTTTTCTAGATTTGTATTGTTTTCACTAGTTCACTAATATCTTCCTAGATTTATCCTTTATACAGATTTAATGAATTAAACAGTTAATATTATTCATCCTAATATGAGGAAATAGACGCAGGGCTTTAACTGATAGACTAAAAAAAAAACAAAACAGGTGATATATGAGCATGTCTTAATCTCCAAGTCAGTAATTGTCAAATTAGAAATAAGAGTTTAAAACTTAAGCACAGATTATTATTATTATTGCCTAAATTGTTACTAAATCCACTCCTATTGTGCCCAATCCCAAGTCTTCCTACTTCACAGCTGTTCTGAATGGATTCCTAGAAATGGACATCTATACTATTGCTGTTTGATACCTAGCACAATGGCTGGTTCACCTTGCAACTAGGCCCCTATGAAAACAAGGACATGAAATGTTGAGCAACCTTCAGCCACAGATAAGGACTGTACCAGGTACTAGGTGAAGATTCAGTGAGGAAGCCAAATGCACATTTCTACTTTGAGCCAGGAGACGACCTTCTACCACATTGAAGTTGGAGAGGTTTTTTTTTTTTGTTGGTCATGGGGCCTGAACTCTGGGCTCAGGCGCTGTCCCTCAGCTATTCAGCTCAAGGTTAGCGCTCTACCACTTGAACCACAGCACCACTTCCGGCTTTTTCTACTTATGTGGTGCTGAGGAATCGAACCCAGCTCCTCATGCTTACAAGGCAAGAACTCTACCACTGAGCCACCTTCCCAGCAGTTGGGGAGTTTTTTGATCTAATGCTCATGAAACTGTCACTCTCTCTTCCTGCCCTTTCTTCCTCCGCTCCCCCCTCCAAAAAATCCTATACACAGCTTGCAACAATTTTCTTCACAGTTTTCTGAGTCGATTGGCCAAGTTTAGGTAGTTCTCACCTGGCTGCAAGGGCAGCCTCTACCAGTCTACCACTTTGGAGGATCTGTCTGGTTCTGCCCTGCCACCTCTGCTCTCCGAACATGCCGTGTAGCGAGACATGAGGAGCGTCCTTTCTGTGAACCAAGATACAAGCAGGGAGAACAGGGATGAGGGGGCAGCTGGCCCAAAGCCAGGCTCTCCAGGCAGAGGCTGTTTGCTTCAGCATACTCGACAACTTTTGAGACTGAGCTCAGCCATCTGGCAAGCCTAGATCCAACAAAGCCCACTGGGGCTCTTTACCATAGATTTGCATTGCCAGTCTCCAAGAGGAAAATGTAACAGGGAAAACCACCAAACCCATGTTCTGAATAACAAGCCTCTCAGCTTCTTCCCAAATAGCAAGGCAAATATGGGGAGATACTGTGCTAACAAATTCTCTCCCCAACTTCAATGTGGTAGAAGGTCGTCTCCTGGCTCAAAGTAGAAATGTGCTTCCTCACTGAATCTTCACCTAGTACCTGGTACAGTCCTTATCTGTGGCTGAAGGTTGCTCAACATTTCATGTCCTTGTTTTCATAGGGGCCTAGTTGCAAGGTGAACCAGGGCAAATCCAGCTACCCTTGAACCAGGCAAAATAGAGAAAACCAAATAAGCACTTTACCAAGAAGAGAGTGCAACAATACGGGGGCTTGTAGAACTCCAGGCCTGAGCTTTTGTTTGGAGGTTCTAGCAGGGGAGCGCAGCTACTCATATACCCTTGACCGAAGACCGGTCCTCCTCTATCGGAGATGGTCGTCCGTTTTGACTGACCCAGTGTGCAGCTTCGGGAGGGACGCACATGGAGTAGTGAGGGAGGAAGGGGACACCCGCCTAGCCAGCTGGATCAGCCCAATCAACCCTGGCGATCAGTGGAGTGACAGATACCACAGCCAGATCGCCCTCACATCCAAGGCCTGAGCTTTTGTATGCAATTCGCTCCCAGGGAAGGTTTGAAAACAGACATTGGTAAAACCAAGCCAATGTGAACTTAGAATCTGAGAGCACCAGGTATGGAACAAGCTGGAAGCAGCGGGAGCCCAGCAGAGTCTGGCCTTTGATGGCTTGAATATAAACACTGTTCTGCGTCTGAGAGGCTGAGGAGGGAACAGCAATGGCTATGTCAGCTTTAGCACTCTGGAAGTCGGGAAGCCAGTTGCCCTTGGAAATATTATTTTCTGGAGTCCACTCCTGTTTGTTACTGTGACAACGCGTCACAGGGTCACTGGGGCTTCTTGATCACAAAAGTTCATACAAGGTCAAAGTGGACTTGGTTGGTGGAAAGACATCCTCATCTACCCATTCACATGCAGATAATGTGAAGGCAAGAGGAGCTCTAAAGGTTTGTAATTAGATCAAAAAATGAGTTAGACCTTCAGAAATACCAATTGCAAAGGCAAACAATGTAAAAAACTCAACGCTCAAATTCTGTTTGTCATAGCTAGGATAAAATGGCCCAGCTTTCAGTTGAGAAAGAGATCCCTTAAGCTTTTCCACCTGGGCTGGCCTTGAACTGATATCCTCCCAATATTAGCCTCCTGAATAGTTAGGATTATAGGTGTGAGCCACTGGCTACTGGCTTTGGATTTTGCTTTTGGGATAGTTTTAGTTAACAGCCTGGGCTGGCTTGAAGCTTGAATCTTATTTCTGCCTCTCAGGTAGCTGAAATTACAAGCTTAAACCACCATGCTTAATCCCTCAAATCCTCTGGTCTTTGAAAAAAACAAGGAAATGAAGCTGAAAAAGCAAGGAAGGTCACTAAAAAGTGTTTACTTGTGCTGAATACTTGATGTCAACTGATAAAGACACTGATACCCAGAGAAGATGAGTGACTTGCCCAAGATCACACATCTACTATGTGATGGAATGGCCATGGGGACCAGAGATAAATATTCCCTGAGCCTCCTACACTGCTACTCAACTCCGGGGACCACCTGGTAGCCTTTGAAACATCTCCCCAGCTGTGAAGAAGGGCAGGTAGTCTGAAGTAGAGAGTCTTCATTGCCCTGGTGGTGTGATATTAGGCTAGCATGTGAAAGAAGAAGGTAAGGCAGGAAGTACTCAGATGGGGGGGTCTGACCATCAGGAGCCATATACCGCTACCATGGAACTAAGCCAGTCAGTGGACAACAAACAATTTGGGAGTTATTCTCAAAATCCTACTATAAGCAGATCATAAAAGGTGAACTCCGGATGCTAAGCCAGGCCCCTTGTTCTTCCTTCTCTGCATTTGATCTTTGTTCAGTATTCGGGCTTGAGTATGTACAGTATGAGACAAGAAAAAACTGGTTTCCTGAGCACTTGCTGTGCTACAAGAGGGAGATGATGAAGTGCTGAAGTGGTGTGGAGATTTGGTAAGGAAGGAGCAAAACTAGAAGCTGGGGAGGGGAGGGTACAAACACTTGCTGCAATGTGGCCACACTCTCCTAGCTCCAAGAAGCAGGACACTAGGCTGCACATAGGGCTGCACATGCAACAGCAGGTGGAGGGCAAGAGAGGATCTTTATGAAAAGAACAATCACTAGAGCCACCTTTTGTTAATGTGTTCAGCATAGATGTGGAACTGGAGGAAACACAGAAGAAAGTGGGGCACTTATACCGATCATGCACAGTGGAGTTGGTTCAGTGTTTTCTCAGTGTATGTGGATACATAGAAAACCTCTTTTTCCATTTAGTATTACTTTGTGAGCACTCCTTTATCATTAGTTCATGTGTGTGCCCATACCAGGGCTTGAACTCAGGGCTTTATGTCCTTGTTTAGCTTCTTTGCTCAAGGTTCTATCACTTGAACTACAGCCTTTTGCTGGTTAACTGGAGATAAGAGTTTCTCAAAGGTCTGGCTTCTCTGTCAGCCTGGCTTCAAAACTTGATCCTCAGATCTCAGTCCCTTGAGTAGCTAGGCTTACAGTCATGAGCAAACAATGCCCAGCAATATTTTGCCCATAGTATTTTTATGGCAGAATTCTGTTCCCCTATTGATAGCACTATTCTTGAGTTTGTGTGCTCACTTTAGGTGATGACTCCTTGTGCATCTTTAAAAAGAAAAATTATTTATTTTGTCGGTTGTGGGGCTTGAACTCTGGGCCTGGGCGCTGTCCCTCGGCTCTTCAGCTCAAGGCTAGTGCTCTACCACTTGAGCCACAGCGCCACTTCTGATTTTCTGAGTGGTTTATTGGAGATAAAAGTCTCACGGAGGGCGGGGAAGGCGGCTCCGTGGTAGGTTCCTCAGTACCACCTAAGCAGAAAAAGCCAGAAGTGGCACTATGGCTCAAGTGATAGAGTATTAGCCTTGAGCTGAAGAGCTGAGGGACAGTGTTCAGGCCCAGAGTTCAGGCCCCATGACTGACAAAAATAAATAACAAACGAAGAGTCTCATGGACTTTCCTGCCTGGGCTGGTTTTGAATCACAATCCTCAGATCTCAACCTCCCGAGTAGCTAGGATTACAGGAGTGAGCCACTGACACCCGGCTTGCATCAGTCTTACTGATACGTTTAGGAAAATTTTTCCTGGTGCTGGATATTGAACCCAGGGCCTTGCACATATTAGGAAACTGCCCTACTACTGAACCACATTCCCAGTCCAGGGTAAACTTTTAAAAGGAGGATTAGCGAATACAGTTGAAGCTTCCATTACTATCAAGTCTATATCTAAAAAGTTGGGGTGGGTTAAGCCCAACAGGGCTTCTCAAGGAGTCCTTGGGGATCTGGCTTCCTGTGGGAGGGCAGGAAGTGTGGAAGCTTCCCTCAGTGGCAAAAGTCCAAGCTACAGGACTTAGGTAGCAAAGGCCTGTTGTGGACACAGGACACTTTCAATAAAATCTTTGGGGGGGGGGGAGATTCATTCTGTTTCGCATTTCTTAAAGCTACAAAACAGTCCTCACAACTAGAGCATAAAAATTATCCAAACCCTTAAAGCACTTGGACTGTCTTTTATGTCTCCTTGTTCTCTCTTTGATGTGGGATGTGAGTTGTCTGGTTCCAGTGTGTGTGAGGGGTGGGTGAGCACCCACTCTGGGGCCTGGAGTACCCATCCTGGGCTGCAACACCCACCCTGGGGCTGGAGCAACCTGGTTAAAGTTGTAATCTGCTGCCACTTCAGAGTGCCAGTGGTCAGCAGGGAGCCGCGATTGCCCTTTTAAGTCCTGTCCTCAGGTTATCCGCACACGTGGGGCTGTGCTAGATACTGGGGAGGAGTCTGGAGGACAGCTGGCCAGCAGCAGCTACAGAGAGTGTGTGTGTGTGTGTGTGTAATGTCAAGGTCAAGGTCCGATGCTGTAGACAAGCATCCTGTACTCTCAGAGGAGGCTGCATTTGGGCTGTGCCTCAAGTACAGAGTGGAACTCAATAAGAGGTGCTAATGATGAGAGGAAGGCATGGAAGAGCAGAAAATGCCTGAAGCACGCCTCTGCCATGTGCACTGCTGGGTGGGAAGCTGCTATCCCACTATTTGTCCCCAGAGACAAAATTCACAAGACAAAAGATACTTGGCCTTCCCTCTCTTCCAGGAAGGTCAAAGGGCAACTACTGTGGACTCCAGTTCCACTCTGGCTGGAGATGGGACAGAGGGATCTGTATTAATCAGCTCTTCCAACTAGCCTTTATCAGCCATTTATCTGCCTTGCCACAGTTGTGACCCCCGAGACTTTAAACCCTTTTCCTTTGTTTTGTCCCTTCTCTAAAAATTCACTGTTCTTAGTTGAAGATGCTATAGTTGGAACTGAAAGCCATCTCTTTCAGAAAACTACTGATTCTTTCCTTGGGTGTTTCCTGTGCAGGTATGTAACATAAATTGTAATAAGCTTCTGTTTCTTTTTCTCTTGTTAATGTGGCTTTTGTTACAAGGGCTACTACTCCTGTAAAAGCAAGAACGTAGGGGATGGGGGTTGAGGAAAGGTATTTTTCTTCCCTTCCAAAGGCAAGAATGTAGTGGCGATGTGGCTCAAGAGGTAGAGCACTAGCCTTGAGCTGAGGGATAGCACCCAGGCCCAGAGTTCAGGCCCCACGACCAGACCCCCTCTCCCCCAAAAAAACATGCGGGGTGGGAAGGTGGCTCAGTGGTAGAGCGCTTGCCTTGCATACATGAGGCCCTGGGTTCGATTCCTCAGCACCATATAAGCAGAAAAAATAAAAAAGCCGGAAGTGGCGCTGTGGCTCAAGTGGTAGAGCGCTGGCCTTGAGCTGAAGAGCTGAGGGACAGCGCCCAGGCCCAGAGTTCAGGCCCCATGACTGGACCCAAAAAAAACCAAAGGCAAGAATGTGGAGGAAAATGCAAAGACATTGGCTAGGGCCCTACTCAAAATGAAGTCTGGGAAGTTAGATAACTCACCTTCTCTCAGCTGTGCAAAATGTCAGCAAAATGATAAGAACCAGTCCTGAATCGGTGCCCAAGAAACTAACTGATGGGGTATTCCCTGCCAACAAGGGGCAGGAAATAAAAGTCTGACTTATTCTGGGGGAAAATACACAGAGGCACTTCTGGATTTTGCTCCTTTCCATAATATGGCAGCTAACACCACCCCTTCTCACCAATACTGAAGCCAGCAAGCATGCCGCAAATGAGATAAACCAATATTTATATTAGAAGCTGGGTACCATGGCTCAGGCTTATAATTCAAGCTACTAAGGAGGCTATCTGGAGGATCAGGGTTCAAAGCCAACACACACACACACACACACACACACACACCAGCAACAACACCTACATTAGAGAACAGCTCTGCCACATAGCCAGAATGAAGCTGTAGAAATTGTGATGTGTATCTTCGGTGTTCAGTTAAGTGAAGTCATTACGTACCTCTCTGTCGTGTGTATCATTACTTGGCATTCTGACCTGGAAGTGGAAACATGCCCTTCCCTTCCAGGGAGCAGGAGCACTAACTTCTTCTGTCAGTCAGTGGAACCCAAAGCCAAATTTAACCCAAAGTTAAATTTTCTCTTGGCCTTAAAGGGACAGCACATCCAACCACCGTCATCCCAGGCACAAACAAACAAAGAGGAAATTGCTAGAAACGCAAGAAAATGATAGCAAAAAGAATAATGACAAGAAAAGAAATGACAGTGAACAAGAGAGAAAAAAAAAAAAAGAAAAGAAATGACTGTGGGAAATGATTTGGAAGTAAAGAAAATGAAGCTAGAAGTAGAGGCGGGAGAATGCCTTGTCCTCTTGGATTGGGATAAAGGATGTAGCTTTTTTTTTCTTTGTATGAGGGAGTGTCAGCCTTAGTATAAGCCATTACTTTGTGTCTTCTTCTCCCCTTAGTCCTGAAGCTTAAACTCGGGTCCCGGGCATGATCCCTGAGCTTTTTTGGTTCAAGGGTAGAGTTCTACTACTTGAGCCACAGCTCCACTTACAATGTTTTTTGGAAGTTAATTGGAGATAAGAGTCTCATAGAATTTCCTGCCTGGGCTGGCTTTGAACATTGATTCTTAGATCTCTCAGCCTCCTAAGTAGCCTGTCCTACTTTGCTCCTTTGTTTAACATAGCTTATGTGCAAGAACTTGCTTAAACAGTGTTTTGTCACTCAGGAGGAGGCCAGACACCGGAGGGAGGTAGAGCTTCTGGGAGAGAACAGGCATCCATCCATAGCTGGCAGAGTGCAGTTGCAGCTCTCTGTCTAGTTTCTTCAATGGGAGACAGAACAAAGGCAGGCATAAATGTTTATCTGCAGGGTAGAGCTGGCCTCTGGAGTGTGCCTGGTAGCCTTGCCACCTCCTCTGCCACCTCAGAGACTTCTAAGATGAGCTGTGCACATCCTGGACGCAAAGCTTCAGGAATCCCAGAGAGGGTTCTCATAGCTCTGTCCAGAGGTTTGCATTTTAGTTTAAACAAAGAGTCGCCTGTATAAAAACTCTAATGGTGCACAGTTTGGGTGGCCCTGGATCACTAACCTTTGCAATGCATCTATGCCTACTTCTTTTCTATCAGTAGCAGGGATTAAAAAAACTTCTGAAACCAATTTTATAGTGACCAGACAGAATAGGAGCACTGTAAGAAATGCGTCTGGTAAGACAGGCACTGGTGGCTCATACTGTAATCCTATCAGGGGGCTAAGATCTGGGGATCAGGGTTCAAAGCCAGCTCTAGGCAGGAAAGTCCATGAGACTATTATCTCCAATGAACCATCAAAAACCAGGAAGTAAAAGCTGTGGCTCAAGTGGTAGAGTGCTAGCTTTGGGTGAAAGAACTCGGGGATAATGCCCAGACCCCAAATTCCAGCCCCAGGACCAGCACCAAAAAGAATAACAACATGTTATTCCATATCCAAGCTTTTAAAAAGTAGTCCACTGAGCCTGGGTGAGCTCATATGTCATTGGGTGGGTATGTTTGTGATGTTTATATTTTTGTTGAATGGCTGGATTTTAAAGAGCTGCTAACACCTTGGGGGACAGCTGCAATTCTGGCTCTTAAAATGCCCTTTGGACCCCACTTCAAAATTTGTGGGTGTTTCTTATGCTATTGTCCTTAGATGCTTTCTTAATAGAAACATGCCCCGCTGCCAGGACCCTCAAGCTACGCCTGCAGAGACGGACATGATGGGCAGAGTAGAAGCCAAACATGTCTGAGCATTTTTTTTTTCCCTGATCCACTTTCATGCAAGTGGGAAAGGCAGTTTGGAAGATCAGTGCCTGCCCATGGATTCCAGAAGGGCTCTGTGAGCTGTCTGGGGCTTTTATAACTTTAATGTGGCCTGTGAGCCACTGGGTCAAGTTGTCCACTGGGGAAGGTATCTAGCAAAGAAATAGGCTCACATATCTGATTGTATGTGGTTCTGGGAATTGACCTTGTGCGTGCTAAATGTAGGCTCTGCCACTGAGCTCCATGTCTAGCCCCATAGTTTGCTATTTTGTTGGGGCTCTGAAGTGACATGAATTTACAGACTATCATAGACATGGTCCTCCAACAAAAGATCTCTGTGACTCCCATTTCCCACAAAGGAGAAAACACCCAGAACCCCAGCCAATCTGCACCGGCAAGTTGCACCAGGCATGTGGGATGCAGGTTGTGGGGGTGCTGGCCTAGTGCCCAGAAGACAGAGTATGGAAGAGGATGAATCTTGGAGTATTCAGAATACAGAAGTGAATCCCTCCCTAGCCCATGAGCTCTCTTTAGAATTAAGGAGGGATGTCTGTCTTACAAGAGAACTGCCTTTTTTCCAGGGGTTGCATGAAGCAAAATGGCGCTTTTTTTTTTTTTTTCACCTTGTATCTCTTTTTACATCCAGGAACCGGGCAGGCAAAAGGCTTCTCTTCCCCTCCATTCATGCACATGGAGCTGAGGATGGCTTCAGAGCTGATGGCACTCTCTGTGGTCCAGGACTCATCGCTGTCTGACTCCTCGTAGTCCACCTCCTCCTCATCGTATTCACTGCCTGTGGGAGCAGAGAGAAACATGAGATCGGTCAGAGTGGCCACCTCTCCACGAGTCCACCCCAGTTGGCCCTACTGCCCCAGCTCGAGGGGAGCAACAGTGACAGGAGAGCTCTGGTTGTCTGTGGTTCTGGGGGACTGCAACTCCTCTCTAGACAGCTCTATGACTAGGTTAAAGGCTTCCCAGTGACTCAGGCCCGGGAAATGACTAAGCAAAGGTGTGTGTGTGTGTGTGTGTGTGCGTGTGTGCGCGTGTGTGTGTGTGTGTGTGTGTGTGTGTGTGTGTGTGTGTTTTCCTGGGCCTTGAACTCAGGGCCTGGATTCTGTCCCTTAGCTTTTGTGCTCAAGACCTAGCACTCTACTCCTTGAGCCACAGTCCCACTTCTGGCTTTTTTTGGTGATTAATTGGAAATAAGAGTCTCTTGGATTTTCCTGCCTGGGCTAGCTTCAAACCACAATCCTCAGGTTGCATAGCTAGGATTACAGGCACCAGCACCCCACTAAAGGAAAGGTTTTTGTTTGTTTTTAATTTTTTTATTTGAAAATGCTAAAAACAGAGGGTACAGTTATAGAAGTCAGGCAAAGAGAGCCAAGGTTTTAAGTCTATGGCAAGGAAGCCTATGGCTGCAAAGGTACTGGGTAGGCTGCAAGGCCAAACACAAAAATCCAGTGAGTTCAGATCCCTCTCTCCATACGCACAGTGCACAGGCTAGCACATCGACTCTCCTCTCCCTTCTACATTGTCCTGGCTCAGACATGCACAGAGCTCTGCGAGGGGCCATGTTTGTACTTTTTAGATATTTACACTGAAGTGGGGATAAATATTGGACACTTTGGAATTGAAAAGTGCTACCCCAAGAAACAGCGAGCAGAAACCCTTGGGGCTCCGAAGCCCAGCTCAGCATCCGCATGCAGGGCTGGCTCGTGCACACACCTATGCGTCATTTACATCCTAGGTTCTCACACTTCCTGGCAGGGCAGAGCCATGGCTGACAGCTCAGGCAGGAAGGGAGATTCCTTTCCACAAGTAAAAAATGAAGGGCTTGGCTCCACATTTCATTTCAAATCACTTTCCTGACTTCTGACCGGCAGACCAGTGATGGAGAGCCACTTCCACAAGCAGCCGCCTTTTTGCTCTTTTTAATGAGGCCTAAAGCCATTTATTCTGGGCATTTGCACAATGCAACCCTGAAGGACATAATTCTACAGATCATAAACAGTGTAAAATAATATGTTGACAAGTCCTAATGCATTTACAAGCCCCGTGGAATAAATAGGAATTATGGCACAACATTAATAAGAATTATATGGTAGCAATTACGGTTGTGAATTTCATCCCCCGGGTGGAAGGTTCAATTGCACCAGGGGCCTGCCTGGGTGCTTCATGGGCTCACTCTGCTACATCAATTATTTCAACACCAAATATTGGCACTTTTATTGGGTTTCATCTTAATAGGCATTAATAAGATTGTTTGGAGAGCATTTGGGCCTGGAACAGGACCCGGCCATGTGAGGCTAACACTGGAAGGATATAGGAAAGCAGGAAGGGCCTGTTACATTGCAGGCAGGCTGGATATATACATTGTCTCATTTAATCCCACAGTAGCCCTTGGAGTAGTAAGGATTTTTTTTTTTGATGCCAGTCCTATAGCTTGAACTCAGGACTTGTCCCTGAACTTTTTTTTTTTTTTTTTGCTAAAGGCTAGTGCTCTACTACTTGAGCCACAGTTCCATTTCTGATTCTCTTTGGGTAGTTAATAGGAGATAAGAGTCTCATGGACTTTCCTGCACAGGCTGGCTTCCAAACACAATCCTCAGATCTCAGCCTCCTGATCAGCCAGGAATACAAGTGTGACTCACGGGTGCCTAGCTACTATCACTTTTATTACACATAAGGGAATTGAATCCCAGTGAGGTGAGAACACTTGCACATCTTCAGTTAGTTATTGAGGGCTGTCACTCCTCACACCAAAAGCCCCCAGCCTTCTCTACCTCTGGGTCCTCTTTCTTCACTGCCTTCAAGCTGCTGGCTCCTCACCACTTGCCACTCAATAGAATTCAGTCTGTTTTGAAACCTGTTAGAAATTCTTGGGGGCAAGAGTGTTGGGAAGGTGCCAAAATAATTTATCAAAATTGAGGCCTTAGAATAAAAAGTGGGTTTTAGTAGAGCACAAAGCTCCTGGAAAAGCTTGCATCCAGTGACCCAGGGCCTAACTCTGCTATAGCAATAGCGTTTGCTTGTGAGGAAATCTTGAGTCTGCTTCTGTACAGAGCATTTAAGACATTTGGACTTTTATACCAGTGCCACATACTGGCAACCTTTAAGTGGCTAGCTAGAAAACCATCAATGCTGTTTTGCAAAACTCTTCCACTAGAATGTCCACTTGGGACTTGAGTAAGTTACAATGACTCATTTGCCTATCTAATTGGGCTGATTTGTTTATGTAAAATACCGGAGTGCAGCATTTACAAGCAGAGAGGAGGCAGGGAACTCTCCACCCAACGGAAGCTTAATGAAGCCCAGAAGAAGATAAAACTTCAAAACTTCACTGGATCAAAAGGCACCAGACCCTGAGGGCTGATGTGGAGCACAGAGTTGCCTGGAAACACATGGCTTCATCTCGGCAGGCAGGAACTCGTAACTCACTGTCCAAAGCAGGGAGTTTTTGTGCTCATAGCAGGCACAAATCGGCACTGTCCTAGGTGAACTGAGATGTCCCCCCCCCCCCCCCCGCCCCTTCCCGCCCTAGTCACTGCACACCACAAAGCCTTTCATGAAACTAATTGCCTCCCTTGAATGGAGCTCAAGACGGACCCGTTTCTACTTAATTCTGTCCTAGAACAAAGAAGACTAGCCACAGTCTGGGGCTCATGTGCTGACATTCATAAGCTGAAGGGACAGGCTCCTTGCTTTTTATTTCCTCTTCCAGGAAATGGGTGCAGAGATCTTACTTGCAGGTGGTTCAAGGATTAGAAGTCATGTCTAGAGGGCATGTAGCAAAGGAGGACTGGCATATAGTAAGTGCTCAGGAAACAAAGTGTAAGAGAATCATTCTTGTAATCATGTAACACAATCATATCACAGACAAAAGAATGCAGGGTTGGTGGTCCTGGGGTTTGAACTTGTATTTGTCTCACAATGTACTTGAGTCACAGTGCCCTGCCCCTCCAGTACTTTTTATTTTGATTTTGCAGATTTGATTTTTTATTTCATCCTCAGACAGCAGTCCTTCTGAGCTTTACCTCCTGATTATCTGAGATTACAGGAGTATGCCCCTGTACCTGGCCTTAAAATAATATTTTTAGAAAAAACTGTTCTAAAATTTTAACAAGGGGTCTGGGAAGGTGGCTCAGTGGTAGAGCGCTTGCCTTGCATGCACGAGGCCCTGAGTTCCATTCCTCAGCACCACATAAGCAGAGAAAGCCAGAAGTGGTGCTGTGGCTCAAGTGGTAGAGCACTAGCCTTGAGCTGCAGAGTTGAGGGACAGCGCCCAGGCCCAGAGTTCAAGCCCCATGACTGACCAAAAACAAAACAAAACAAAACAAAAACAAACAAAAAACCCCAACAAACAATAAAACTTTTTAAAAAAGTTGTAAAAAGGTTTGGAATCTTTACTACCAAAAAAAAAATTATACAGGAGGGAGACTGCATGTGAAGACGGGTCTCATCAGCTTTGACTCTTCCCTGCAGGCAGAGCAACGCATCTCCCCTCCTCCATCTCCAGTGACCCTGCAGAGACCAGGCTAGGGACATGGGCTGGGGCCTGCGTGCCAGTGGGAGCCCTGGTGTGGCTAGTGAGGAGTTGTGTGAGCTAGGCAGTGACACCTCATCTCTGAGCTTCGGACTCCCGTGTGAAATGCAGCAATGAAGCCACCCCTTACTGGCATTGTGAGGAGTGAGCTCCTGTTTTTAGAAGTACTTAGAACAAAGGTTGACATAGGATGGGCATGTGAGAGTTTACCCTATCACTGTTCCTTGGCTTGCTAAAAGTAGCTCTTAAAAACAGCACCGTTTTTTAAAAACAAAGGAAACTGCGGACTATCTCCTCTTCTCTACCCAAACAGAACCGTCCATAAGCTGAAGTGGCTGGCCGTTTCTCCTTTGGGCAGCTAGAGGGCCTACTGCAGGCAGCAGATGGGCCGCCATGGCTCCTGAGTCCCACACAACTCCGATGCTGTTGCCCCCTGCAGGTCCGCCTGGGATGCCTGCACCAGCATCCACCGTGGTCCTGCACCAGACATGGGAACCAAAAAACCACCCCAGAGCTTAGACAGAGTCGAAATCTCATGTTTCTCCAAAAGAGAAAATAAACTCTCCCATCTGAGTCTATGTGCATATTCATCATAAATGCCACACACGCATGTATTTGTGTAGTACCATATAATATACATATGCAATGTAAAAAGGAGAGGATAAATACAATATATGCATATTTTTGTTTCTCTGTTGGGCATTGAGTGTCTTCAAGTACTTTCTACCACTGACACACATCCGCAGCTGCTGGTTTCACACTGTATCCCAGGCTGGCTAGACACTCATAATCTGCCTATTTCAGCCTCCCAAGTGCTGGGATACAGGTAGGGGCTACCACTCCCAGCTTGTGTCAATGATGTTAAGTTTGGATAAGTTAATGTAAGGCTTTGCTATCTCCTTCCTCTACCTTACTTTGAGTCCACAGTTTCCCCAGCTAGCCACAGGGACAAACGGGACACCTCAGTTAGCTTTGAGGTCATCCAGTTGAAATGAGGCCATGTCAGACCTGTGGAGATTCAGCCAAAGTATCACTTTTACTAGGAAGATCATTAAAGTTTGCTGAAAGCTCTGATTAGTTTCATGGTGAGTAACCTTAGTTTTCCCGTATACCCTGATAGATTTTAGTGCATAACCAGGTGGAATGTCAAGATTTTAGGCATGGGTACATGACATGATAGCCAAAACACCTTTAAAACTTTTTAATCTTTTTTTTTTAAGCCATGTATTTGCTCCTTAAATTTTGGCACT